CGTCCTCGCGAGGACGCGTGGTCGATGGTTGGACCGCTAAGGCAAGCAAAACATTAGTTGCGCTCCCCACCCTCCCTCTAGCTTTCTCTTTCGCTGCTGCCCCCGTTCTCCGGTTGCAAAGATATCACACCTCCACACCTCCTGGAGTGATTTCCAAAGCTCAATTTCTCCACGACGAAGAGCATGTCAACCTGAGATGACATGTTTTCGCAGCGCGCTGGACGAGACAGAATGCCATCGGCTCTTGTGTTCGGCACCATCATCTCGCGTTTAGGCCTGCAGAACAGCCGAGCTTTGACAGTCGTTCCAGGGTGGTCGCAATGTCTATCGCAACCCACGTTTTTCCTCGCCACCACCGCTGCACACCCGCATATACACGAAGCGCCCCTGGTACAGTGCATATGCACTCCCCCAACTTACACAGCGCTACCAATGAGAAAGAACCCTTAACTTTGCAAGCGTGTTCGCGTTGCTTATCCCGCTATAGTAAGACTGGCGTTTTTTCATTGGTCAGCAGCAGCCGGTTAGCGCGGTCGATACTAACAATAAACACATACACGCATACAGGAGCCCTACTATAAGAAATCGGACGGAGGTGCCCGCCTCGGCTACTGGAAGACCTCCGTCGGCACGCTGGAGGCCGAGGTCGGGCAGCTGGAGAAGCTCGTCGCGACCGCACGCTCCGCGCGCGCGGGGCCGCCGGCGGCGGTAGCGGCGGCGGAGGACGCCCTAGCGGCCGCCCGTTGGGTCTTGAAGGCGGTCGTGCTGTTAACGGGAGGGGCTGGCGGTGGTGCCCCCGGTGGTGGAGCCAGCGGGGCGGGGGCGGCGGGGTTGCCGGCGTTTTCGGAGGTGTCTGCACTGCTGGACAACGCGGTGAGACAGCGCGGTTGGGGGGGTCGGGGTTGTGGTTTTCGTGCTTTATGGGAGCGATGTGTGTAACGTGGCAAGGATGATGGAGGATGTTTCGGACACGCTGGGTGTTGCCGAGGATCTGTTGTCTGGACCACCGGGCGAACACCGAGAGAAAAAGCTCGTTGAGAGTGCTGTGCATCTTCATCTATGTATATTGTTGCGGCGAGGACATCGGAGAACGGACGTGGGCGCGGAGGCTGCCACTGCTGATTGTTTTGTTGACTTTTTTTTTTCTTTCGTTTCACCTTTTTTGTGTGTTGGTCGGTTGGGCGGGGGCAAACGCGAAAACCTTATGGGCAGGGAGAGGCGATGGCGACGAGTGCGGACCGGCGGGGGAGGGCGAACACCGCCTGGCAGCACGTGAACGACATTCGGTAAGCGCCAGAGAAGTGTTGTCTAATTTTTTACATTGCACTCATATATTTTTTGTTCATTGTGTGGGTTCCCGTAATGTCACAGACACACGCATGCGCATCGATTGATGTTGATGGCAGCATTGGTTCACTGCTCCCTTGAGAAGTCTGATGATAAGCACCACATGAGACCCGTTCAGGGCTTCCAGGTTCCTCTCAGCTCCTTGCGGAACCAAGGATAATTTAGGAGCCAAGCGTACCGTGAGACCGACTCCATGGTTATTGAACCACGTACGCAATCCTAACAATCTCAACAACGAACGAACGGAGAGGGTAGCAAGAACACGATCGACTGTGGAGAAGTGTAGTCAGTATCTTTGTACGCACACTTGCGTGCGAGAGGTTATATTTTCCCCTTTGAAATGGACATCTCATCATCGGTGGCATCGCCGCGCGTTAGCACCCGAAGTGAAGAGAGGGAGAGGGAGGGAGGGCAGGAGAGAGAGAGAGAGAGAGAGAGAGAGAGAGAGAGAGAGAGAGAGAGAGNGAGAGAGAGAGAGAGAGAGAGAGAGAGAGAGAGAGAGTCGCAAACCTAACGTTTTGCTTCTTGTATATCGAATTGACGCTTCGCCATTTGGCATTTAGCAGCGGTTTGGCACGTTTGATGGTAGTCAGCCATTCACACGCGCGCTCGCGAGCGCTATCGTCGTCGCATCGGTTAGACGGTTGCTCGGTCTAATTCGAAGAAAAATTCACGTGTACACATACAACACTCGCAGGAGCATGGCGACCCAGTGGATCAGGCGTGCCAAGACTTGCCTCCGTGCCGACGGTGCTGCGGCGGGCGTGACGTTGGCCGTGATGCGGCGACACCTGTCCTCGGGCGATGCGGTGCCGGTGGACATGCCGGAGTACCACGAGCTGGAGCGCGTAGCGTCCGAGTGGGAGGCTTGGGAGGTGAGACAGAGACAGAGACAGAGACAGAGACAGAGACAGAGACAGAGACAGAGACAGAGACAGAGACAGAG